GCTTGAGGTTCAGCATCAGGTTGTTTAATTGGGCTCACTCCTTTTTTCCAATATAAGTGTTCACTGCTATGAATTTCCCTCATAAGACTGCTTTCATTGTGTCCTATAGATTCTGATATTTTGTATTGTCATTGTCATTTAATTGAAGGCCCTGTCTGTTTCTTCTTTAATTTCCTCTGTGACCCATTGATTATTCAGTCGTGTGTTGTTCACTTTCCATGTGTTTATGAAATTTTTGCGGTTTCTTTTGCTATTGATCTTCAATTTCATGGCATTATGGTCTGTAATATACAGGGGATCACTTCAATTCCTTTGCACTTACTTATGTAGCGCTCCATTCTTGATGCAGTCTCACTTGTCTATTTTAAGAGAGCTCCGTTCTAAATTTATCCTCTTCCTTGTTCACTCCATACACATCCTAGGAAATCTCACCATTTCCTGTGATTACAGTGAGCATCAGGGATTCTCAAATCACTTTCTCCACCCTACCTCTTTTCCCCAGGTCCCTAAGAATGTCTCTAACACCCTACTGGCTGATGCACAGAAATCTCACATTCAGCAACAGACTGTTTGAACTCATTTCCCTTCTTCCCCGTTCCATAAAATCGTGCTTCTTTTGCGTTTCCTATCTCCTCACCTTGTCATCTGAGTGTGAGATCTGGAGGTCACCCCTGCCTCACACCATATCCTAACCTCTGACCATTCCACCTCTGGAGTGGTTCCAGAGCCCATCCAATTGTCCCTACCCCCACTGCCATCACCATTATTTCTACCACCTCCATCTCTTTCCTAGAGTTATTTCATCAGCTTTGAAAAAAACCTGACTCTCATTCCCTCAAGCCCCATCCCCTCAAAACTCCATAAAGCAGCTAAAGGGATCTTTTAAAGATGCAAATGTGATCACGCCACCCTTCTGGGTGTAACATTCAGTGGGTTCCTGTTGCCCTCTGGAAAAACTCTGAAAGCCTTACTAGGTTCTCCAGTGGCTTCTCACCTTTTAAGGCTCACCTGAGCTCCCTTACATCCCCTCTTCTTTGTCTTAGCTACGTCTTTCTCCTTTCCTTCTCGTGTCCTTCTTGCCCCTGACTTTGGCACACACCACCCTTCCCTTCACACATTCCATGCAGAGGGAAGCTACTCTTACCTCAGAAGATTCATCCTCAGGCATTTCCTCAGTTACCATCTCGGAGTGACTGTGAGTTTCATTTTTGTTGTACTCTTTTTCTGCATCTTTTCTGGCCTGGTGCAAGAAGGTTTTATATTTTTCATTGCCTGTGGTGGTTGGAAGGAGAAGAGAATCAGGATGTTTGAAGAACTATGACTTATGCCCCAAATGCAGACTCTCAGCTCAGGGTAAAGTGAGAAGGAAAGTGAACTTTTTGATGCTTTACCTGCCATGTTTTCTACCACTACTTAGAGAGGACATTTGTATGAGACCTCACTGAGCTTCACGCGATTGAACTTGAGTGAACCAGCTGACTCTCAAAGACTTGAAGGGAGTTAACAGTCACTTGGGACTCTTTCAGCTTCAGCACTGAAACCTCTACACCCTGGGAATCTCCTCATCCCAATGTTGGTCAAATTGGGGCACCTGGTCACTCTTTAAGTCAGTTTTCAAGTTTTTAAAGTTCCAGTTAGCAAGAGAATATATTTGGGTCATGTTGCTTTAACTAAATCTAAATAAGCCAGGAAGGCAATTGGTGGAGAGATTTCAGATACTCAAATTCACATTAAGCTGGAGCAGATTCAAATGCTTTGGGGGAAAGGTAGGTGAAGTGATTACAATGTCTACTGTAAAACAGCTGAGACTATGGCAGACTGTAGCAGTAAGACAAACTAATGACATTCGAGTTTAAATTATTTTAAAGCCCTTATTGGTCAAGCTATGTCTACTGCCTTAATCAGACTAGTTGAGCACCTAGTTTTCAAAGTATGTGGCAAAAGATTTCCTTTTGACAATTATAGTCGGTTCTTTGTATCTGTAGCTTTGGTGTCTGCAGACTTAAACAACCATGGTTCAAAAATATTTAGAAAAATTGTATCTGTCGTGAATATGTACAGACTTTTTTCTTGTCATTATCACCTAAACAATAAAGTACCATAACATACACTACAGTAGCACCACAACTACAGCACTTCCATTGTTTTAGGTATTGTACAAAATCTAGATATGATTTAAAGTACACAAGAGGACATGCATAGGTTATATGCAAATATGATGCCATTTTATATAAGGAATTCGAGCATCCATGGATTTTGGCATTAAGGGAGGTCCTAGAGCCAATTCCCTTTGGATCCTGAGGGATGATAGTTATCCTTCTCTGGCTATAACTCTAGTTACCAGAGTGCAACATGATCTTGGCTTTATTAACATATATATTTATGTCTTCAGGGAGCAAACATGTAGAATTTAACAAGTGATCATGAACAGATACATTAGTGACTTGAAGGAACGGGGCAGGTGGAAGGCTGGCGAATGAGGGCCTAGCCAAAGCTTTGTAGGGAAAGTGGATTCTGAGAAGCTCCAAGAAGGGTGCTTGGAGATGATGAAAGGTTTTTCTTGACCCTTGGTCCTGTGTACCATGTCAGGAAGCAAAAGCCAGAGAGTCTACAGCTGAGTTTGGGGATCTGTCAAGGCAGAAATATCAGCATGGTACAGAAGTTTGGCTCCGGAGGCCACACATGACTAGAAAAACCTTCACTAGGTATGTGGCAGACAACTAATAATGTCTCATTTGAACATCAAAGCATGTGACCCCAAATAAGTGGTTTGTGGGTGCCTTTTTGTGCAGTAATATTTTGAGAATTTGACACCTGGCAGTACATCAGCTCTCACCTCAGTAGAGAAGATAATTGTGAGTGTGGCATTAGGAAAGGGGACTCAAGGAGAACAGTGGCTGAAAGGAACATCCATGGGACTGAAAGGCTTTTGGAGGTGAAGTTTTCTAATGCTGCTATACGTAATTCAGTGATGGTGAAATTGGCCAGGGATCTTAGTTTGGGACTACCATAGGTTACCACAGCTTATCTTATTACACTCAGTCAAATTCAACTTTTGCCCTGCCCCCCTTCTTTTCTAGCAATTGAGCAGTAACACAGAAGGGAACTAGAGGGCATTGCTAGGTAAATAAATACATCTTCAAAGAAGCAAAGCCAAAATGTACTTAGACCCCAGTGGGGAAAGACTAAGGGCAGTGGTACCTTGGAGGTTCCTGGGAAGATCCAGGCTGATCCGGGGAAAGATTCCCTCTCCACTCAGAGTGATATTTTCTGGGTCCAGGTGGGCAATCTGTATTTGGAAGCGCCTTTGAAAGATCTCAGGTATTCCAGGTAAATAGTAAACCTTCAACACTTGCTTCCTATATGAACTGATAAAACCCTATGCGGTAGAAAGATCAGAGAGAACATGGGATTCATAAATAGACTTCTGCTTCTGGTAATGTGATGGATTAGATAACCCCAGAGGCCAATTGTCCTGGTTATTCTCTACTTGCACACCTCCCCCAGGGTCTATTCCTACGACACTGTAAGGAACTGACAAGAAAGCAATAGCAAGATAGGGAATATATATGAACAGATATCTCATAAAGGAGGAAACATGAGGAGCAAATAAAAACAGGAAAATATGCTCATCTTCATAATTCATCAGGAAACTCAAGTGAAGATCATAGTAAGGATTTTTAAAACTATAACATTGGTAAAATGTATTCCGTTTTGGTGAGAATATGCATCACAGGAAACTCTGATACAACTCTGGTGGGAATATTAATTGAAATAAGCACAGGGAAGAACATTTTAGCATTATTTTATAAAGTTGGACACACACATAGCCCATGAACCAGCAATTCTACTCCTAGGAGAAATCCTAGGAAAACTTTTGCCTGTGGTCCAGGAGACACAGAGGAGGAAATTCACAGAAGGATTGTTCCTACTAGCAAACTGTTGGTGAGGGGGTGGAGGGACCAAGTGTGCTTTGATAAGAAAGGGGAAATTTGCTTTCAATATAGTTAGCAAAGGAATATTACTCAGTAGTGAAAATAGATGAATAGAGCTACTGGGGGTGAGTATTAGAAACACAATGTTGGGTGAAAAAAATCAATTTGCATCAGATTACATTTAATCATGCCTTTAAAAAAATAAAGCTCAAGATAAAGCAAAATCTTATAGAATAATGTCTCTATGAGGGCAAATACATTTTAAAAATTTGTTTACCAATTTCTAGCACTAGAAAAATGATAGAGAAAACTACTAGGTGCGGCCCGGGGATTTAGCTCAGTGCTTCCGGTGCCTGCCTCACAAGCGCAAGGTACCGAGTTCGATCCCCGGCACAAAAAAAAAGAAAACTACTAGGTGCTTAAAAAATTTGGATAATCAATACAGTCAATCACTTTGAGAATACATACGTAGATAATAACCTTTTTTTTTTTTTTGTACTGGGGATTGAACTCGGGACCTTGCACTTGCGAGGGAGGCAGCAGAACCACTGAGCTAAATCTCCGGTCGGTAATAAAACTATTTTAAGAAGAGAATGATAAAAACAAAATTCAGATTAGTGGTTACTGGTTACAAGGAAGCAGGGGCATGAGATAGGAAATGAGCCCAGGAAGATTTCAATTTAGTGGATTATATGCATACCAACACATAAGTAGATGCAAATATACTGGTAATCTTCTAGATTTAAAGATGCTAGTAGGTTCATAGATATTGTGCTTTATATGTCAAACATGTTACATAGATTACTTTTTGTGTACATAAAATATTATACAGTAAAACTTTTAAAATGAAGAATAAGGTCTAGGTCAGCAATCAGAAAATAAAAAGGTAGGAGAATTGCATGATTATAAATGACCAAATCTGACCGGAATTCTGAACTAGGGTAAATAATACGAGACCAAGTTCCAGTTACATGACAGTGTTTCAAAAGTCATTTTTGATAGGAATCTTTAAATTTTTGAATATATTTTTTGATGTCATAACATGCATGAGACTGAAGAAAAACGAGAGAATGAAGATGAGAGAAACATTAATGAAGTTCTGCATAAATGATGGTAATGATAACATGTTGGTATATACCTGCCTACATTTCATTTAGACCCACATGCATCTGCGCAGACACACATACACACAAGCTGGGGGCCCAGCAATCCTAGGAGGGTAAATAAAATTACCCTGGCTGTGCCAGATGCCATTGCTGTGCTTGCTGTGAGAGGGAGTGTTTTCCTCTGTCTCTGCTCCCTGTTGTGGGGATGTTGTCTGCGATCTCTATTTCACTGTCCACAGCTGACCCATGGCACCAAATTGCACAAGACAATCAGTCACACCAAACATTTTAGGAAATTGTACACGTGCTATGGAGTGTGTGCATGTGCATGAGTGTGCACACATGGGTGTGTATGGGGCCACACTGGGGAATCAAATGGCAAAATGCACTCTGTTTCGCGGTCTCTGGGATTCACACCCACTCGCACCTTCTCTCTTCTCCTCGCCCCTCCTTGGGCAATCCGCGGCTCTGAGTGGTGTATTTTCCCAGCAAAACCAGTTCCCCCTTGGAATTCTGGGGGGGAGGGGAGATTTTCTCTATTCTATTACACATTCAAACATGCTGTATACTGTTGAGTCATGTTAATATGTGTTTTCATTCATAAGAATTTTGACTTCATAACAGGAAAGTTGGCTTACAGAAAAAGAAAAACATACAGAGGGGGAAAATCTCATTTGGACTTAAAAAGGCTGGTTCCAAAGCAGTCACAAAGGTTAGCAGAGCAGACACAGGGCCTCCATTCTTAGAAAGCCCAGCTGGCACCTGGGGGCCGAGAGGCTGGGAGGGTTCTCACTACTCACCAGTCAGCCAGCCTGCTGTGCCCAAACTGGGCACACAATATGATTTACACTGAGCATCCTCTCTCTTTCTGGGTGTCTGAAATTTTGGGATGTGCAACCAATATAATGAAAATGGCCATACTTCCAAAACCACTATATAGATTTACTATTTAGATTTATATAGGTTGAAATTCCAACAATGTACTTCACAGAACTAGAGAAAACAATCCAAAAATTCATTGGGAACCAGAAGAGATCTAGAATAGCAAAAGCAATTCTAAGCAACAGAGACATGGCTGGGGGTATGGCAATCCCCAACTTGAAACTATGCTACAAAGCTACTGTGATAAAAACAGCATGGTACTGGCAAAGAAACAGACCAGAGGATCGGTGGAATAGATTAGAAGATGCAGAAACAACTCCAGACATACTCAGCCACCTCATCTTTGACAAAGGAGCCAACCACCCTCATTGGAGGAAAGATAGCCTATTTAATAAATGGGGTTGGAAAAACTGGATTTCAACCTGCCAAAGATTAAAACTAGACCCATATATATCACCATGCACTAAACTAAGATTGAAGTGGATTAAAGATCTAAATATTAAGACAGAAACACTAAACCTGCTGGAAGATAAGTTAGGTAGAACTCTTGAAGACACTGGCATAGGAAAAGACTTTATGAACAAAACCTCAGTAGCCCGGGAACTAGCACAAAGAATCAACAACTGGGATCTCATCTTATTAAAAAGCTTCTGCACTGCAAGAGAAACTACCAACAGAGCTAACAGACAACCTACAATGTGGGAAAAAATTTTTAGCAGCTGTACCTCAGACAAAGGACTACTATCTAGAATATATAAAGAACTGAAAAAAATTGGATCCCCCAAATTCAAAGACCCAATTCAAAAATGGGCATCTGAAATGAACAGACATTTCTCAGACAAAGAAGTAAAAGTAGCAAATAAATATATGAAAAAATGTTCAACATCACTGGTCATTCGAGAGATGCAGGTGAAAACAACACTGAGATTCCATCTCAACCCAGAAAGAATGGCAGCTATCAAGAAATCAACCAATAACAAATGCTGGCGGGGGTGTGGAGAGAAAGGAACCCTTCTCCATTGTTGGTGGGAGTGCAGACTGGTGCAACCACTGTGGAAATCAGTATGGAGATACCTCAAAGAACTAGGAGTAGAGGTCCCATTTGACCCAGCTATTCCTCTGCTGGGTATCTTCCCAAAAGAATTAAAAGAATCATACCACAGTGATATATGTGCACCCATGTTTATAGCAGCACAGTTTGTAATAGCTAAAGCTTGGAAACAGCCCAAGTGCCCATCAACTGGAAACTGGATAATGAAGATGTGGTTTTTTAGTAAAATGGAGTACTACTCAGCTATAAAGAATGAGAAACTAGAGTCATTTATAGCTAAATGGATGCGTATTGAGGCAATACTCATAAGTGAAATAAATAGGACACCATGTATAAATACTGGATAGTTTCTCTAGTGTGAGAAACTGAAAGTGTAAATAACAGTTAAAATGATAATTGCAAATAGGAAGAAAAGGTCTGAAAGGGTAGGGGTGGTGGTGGGGGAAGTGGAAAGGAAAGAAGGGAAAGGAAAAAAATATGAGAAAAGAAAAGAAAATGGAATCAAAGTCTATGTAAATAGGGAAGGGTGGAGGGGTGAAGGGTGCACAGGTAATGGGGAAAAAAATAAGAGCCAAGATATATCATGTAGAGGTACAAGCACCCAATGATAAATGTAAGCATATTGTATACCTAAAATGTACCAATAAAAGAATTTAAGAAAAAAAAAAGGATTTAAAAGAATAGCTAAGACAAATTGGAAAAAGAAGAAGAAGGAGCAGACCTCACAGTTATTAAGATGTATTTTAAAGCCACAGCCAATAAAATAATATAATATTAATGTCGGGCCAGCCAAGCAGGTCAAAGAGGACTAGGGAGACTAACAATAAACCTAATATATGTGATAATTTAGGGGAAGAACAGACTTTATCATCAAAGATGACAGCATTCATTATCTTTGGATTATAGTATGAATAAGTACACATTTATTCTTTGTTTTAATTTTCCAGTTTCTCTGTAATAATTATATGCTATTTTCATGATGAGAAAATTTCACCCGAAGTTCCTGAACACCGGTGTGTCAACGTGATAGGGACAAGGGACCAGCTGCACATTTGCTTTTGAAACACAAACACTGCGGTCTATTGCTCTTTTCGCATCTGCTAATAAAAATTGCTTTTATGGGTGTAGTTAGTGGAGAGGAAGCCTTTGGGATTTACAAGGGAAGTATGAAAATATCAGTGGAAATAAAATTAATTTTATTATCATGCAAAAAAAATCCATAGGTTGCATCTGTCTAGTTTACTGCTGTCTCCCTGGTACTTAGAAACTGGCTAATGTAGGACTTAATTAATTCTTGTTTAATAAGTAAGTGGCCTGGATGTATTTATTTTTCTTCCTCCTGAGTTCTTTGTCTTCATAATAACTTTTAAAAAGTTACTCCCATAGTCCTTGTGGTGAGTGGTGCTCACCTACCTGTGGGGCGTGGCCTGCCTTTGAATCAGCCCCTCCCACTGTCCACTCACCGACAGAGGCACAATCTGTGGCACCCCAGGGAGAAGGCTGTCTGGGGAAGACTGGTGGTCAGTCAGAACCTTGAACTCGAAGCCAACTTTCCCGGTGTTCTTCAGTGTGATCTCACGCTCTGCGATGTGGTCGAACAGCTTGAGGAGAGAGGAAGGCAAGGTGACTCTTCCGCCACTCACCTCTGGGATGCTGCTGTCACCCTGACAAAGGGAGATCAACACACATGCCTCACAGACACAGGTTCTGCTCTTTGTGAGAGAGACACCGGCCAGCCCACACATCAGCATCCCAAAAAGGTGCTTTCTGGGGCAGGAGGACCACTGGCCCCTGGACCCCTTGCTCTTGCCTTGGTGCTTCTAATCACTGGTTTACTTTACAAATGGCCATGGGGGTGGATGTCTTATTCTTGCACCTTAGATTCTTCACCACAGGAACCTGTAGTACAGAATCTTAAGATAAGCTTTCAATACTAACAAGACTTGCCTTCTGGATTCTGTTTTACAAGAAAAACACAAGATCTGTTTGGTTTTTTTTTGGTATCAGGGATCAAACTCCGGTCCTTGCGCTTGCTAGGCAAGCGACGGAACCACTGAGCTAAATCCCCGGCCCCAAAACACAAGATCTGAGTGCAGAATGTTCTGGAATGAATCTTTTCATTCATATGGAGACCATGGGTGTGATAGGTTAGTTCTTTTCTTTTCTTTTTTTTTTTTGAGATTTTGTTAACATAATTCACCAGCAAATATAGTAGGTCTAATAATAGTAACCGATACCACTTTAGAAGTCTTTAGGATAAGCTAGGGCAATGATTAGCTGCTTCAAAGAATATACTCAAAGATGAGCCTAAACCAAGCACCCAGAGGACCCCATAGATAAGGAAGGAAAGAGAATTCTACTTGGTTTGCACAGTGGAGACAGTTTTAATCGGTGTTAGGTGAATCGGATTTTAGGTACAACCTTTAACGTAAAAACATACATAATTCAATAATTATACATGCAGTAGCTATTAAGGGAGGTCGAATCCTCATTAAATTCTGTAGGACATATGGTCTCTGAGTATGTAACACAAAATCTAATTGGAGAGACAAGGTGAATAGACAGGGCTGACAGTTATCCCAAAACAAAAATTAGAAAACACATTCTATTATGGCAAAGATTATTCCTAATTGCCAAGGGGATATAAAATAAGAGAAAGTAACTGTGGAAAGGAGCTGAGCTGGTCTTACAGGATGTAAAGGTTTGGGTTTGGGCAGAGAAGAGGATGGCAGGATAATATAAAAGCAAGTATGGAGGCAGGAAGGACTAGGGTGAATTAAGGTCAGTGGGTCAACCAGCTTGACTGCAGTCAAATGAACGGGCCATAATGAGGAATTTTTAGTAATGAAATTTCTGCATAAGGGGCACCAGTTAATAGAGGGACTTAGGATATCCTCATCCAGGTGGAGGAATCTGACCCTGCGCCACAGTGTGACAAAGAAAGGAACTCATGCTGATTGAAGGACTACATGGCACAGCATTGACCAGACACTTAAGCAGCCACAACCTCCCGGTGGAGGAACAAGTATTCTACTTGTTTTCCTCTTCTAGATGAAGGATACCTAGGGTTGGGGAAGTTAGGTGGTGTGCCTAAGGCAACACAGTAGGAAGCAAAACAAGATATAAAGCCATTGCTCTTTTCTCAATACAACGTTGCTTTCCCAAACACTTCTGGGATTAATTGGTCATGGACTGATGGGATGCAAGATGAAGAGCAGCTTTGGGAAAACTGACTTGACAATGATGTTTGGCAGGTTAGTGGAAGAAGCTGTGAATGTGTTGCAGCCCTTGCTTGCAGTAGGTCCGAAGGAGCTTGTTAGAAATTCAGATTCACAGGCCCCCCCAGACCTACGGAATCAGAATCTACACGTGAACAGATGGATTCGTACACATACAGCACGGGAGGAACTGCTGCAGTGTCTCAGGCATGGCTCAGTGAGGCTCTGCAGTGTGGTTACAGGGGCCAGGAGGTGAGAAAACTGACTGAGTGGGACCTGGTAGGGGAGGCAGCAAGCACTGGACATTAGAAGGATGTAGGTGTGGGGGAGCGTGCAGTGGCAAAGGCTTGCACACTTCCCACTGGGTGTGAGGAAACAGCAGTGCTAATGAAAGAACCAGAGAGGTGGAAGAGGCTTCTGGATGGAAACTGGAGCATCCAACATGTTGAATTCCAGGAGCTGGTGAGAAAAGCAAGCGGAAATATCTGGCAAATGGCTGGCAGCAGGAGGATGATCAGGATCAGGAAAGCAGATTAGGGATCCAGGGTAGGGGTGAGGCTGAGATTGAGCTGATTGGGGACGAGAATTATTATTCATGTTTAAGGCAAAACCAGAAATCCCCCCCCCCCCCGCCGTACCTGTAGCCCGCAGTTAATATCCTTGGTGTCGAGGGAATAGTTGATCATGGAAGCCTGTCCCTTCAGTGTTATTTCATAGGTGGGCCCGCCTTCCACTTCACACAGAGCTTTGGCCTGTGCAATGATGTCACAGTGTCCATAGAAAGTGAAAGATATTTGCTGGCTGCTGTATGGCTGCAAGACTCCATAGAGGGGCAAAATGTCGAACACCTGCAGAGAGAGTCACCCCATGTGAGAACGACTGCCAGGAGGATGTGCCTGCGAAGGGTGCATTAAAGTCCTGCCCATTGACAGACAAGCCCAGCACCCTGAACACATATGATGAGAACGGCACTCACAGTGCTCTGGCAAGATGAAAGTTTCTAACATAGGGCAGGTGCTCAGTTAGAAGAGTTGTACTGATTATCTCAGGACTCAGGAGGTATTACTTACTTCTTCAATCCCCATGGAAACCAACTCCTCTTGAAAGATCCACAGGGGTTCTTCAAAATCCAGCTGGCTCTGGCTACTTTCTCTTTCAGAAGAGCTATGTTTTTCCCCCTAGAAGTTAAAGATATGAAGAAAAGCTAGCAAGCATTTATAATAGATCACTGATGTGCACCTTTCCCATATAAAAAAGAAGTATGTTGCATATGGCCATGAAATAGTACATTTTTTTCCCTAGGGAGATAATAGGACAATGCCCCCAATGTACATATAAAGATGTTTATTGTGGTGTTATTTATAATAGCAAAGTCTGGAAGCAGACTGTCTGATCAAAAGGGGGTCTCTTTAAATAAAGTGTATGTGGTACCTGTATCCATGGAGCATCACACACACAGTGTGTACTATGGACTGTAACTGATGCACATCACATGTTATCGAGGAAGGAAGCAACTCCATTTATATAAAGTTACATAGGCCTCTTGCAACTGAAGGAGTGAGTGGACACAAACCCATTCTGAGATTTGCATACAAGATATCTGGGAGATTGTCTGCTAATTGTTTCAATAGTATTTTTCTACTGAATGATGGATTTTGAGGATTTTTGTTTTATTTTCTCTGTATTATTGAATTTTCTATGACAAACATCTTTGAAAACAGAAAAAAGGGAATATTAAAAAAACAAGTATTTTACATACTCACGCATTTTTTTCTAAAAAATTGAAAAATATTTGAAAAACTTGAAAAAAGCTCTAAAGAAACAGAAATCAATCAATAGGTTATGCTATAAATATATGTATATGTGTCTATACACTGTGTATACATACATCTATATTTGTATTCTGATTTTTCAGTTGACATTATGCATGGCACCCTCCCATGTGATTGGATATTCTCCATGAGAGTTATTTAAAATATTAAAAAATAGTTTATATATGATATAAATTTTAAATATTCAAAAAGCATATGATGAAAAAATTAGACTCCCGTCTCTACACTCTAGTTCTTTAGCATTCCTTTCTAGGTAACCACCATCCAGTTTCTGATATGTTCTATTTAGTTATTTTCTTTATTTGACCAGTATTTACTGAGTACCAGTTCTAGGTACTAGGGATATGATAGTGAACAAAGTGGAGTAAAATTCCTGTCCTCATGAAGCTTGTATTTCTAGAGACATTCTATGCATAAGCAAATATACCTATGTACTTATTTGAGAGATAAAATACATATACTTGGCCTGACTGCCAAGTATTCCACTTCCATAGTTGATAGATGTGCCTTCACATTGATAAAACGGGAAAAGATAATAGTACCCACTTCATAGGGTTGTTGGGAGAAGTAAAAGAGTTAATGTAAAAAATGTTTAGAATAGAGCAAAGTACATAAGTGCTCAGTAAATGTTAGTTGTTTTTATATACTTGGTAGCACATTATGCATCCTGTTTTGCACCTAGAATTTTAACTAAATATATCACAGATTGCCTAAATTAGTATATAGAGAACTGTATCATTTTTAAAAAAGGATTTCATCGTATTGCAGTATGCAGATGTAATTCAGTTCATTCAGTTAGCTTCCTATTGGTGGAATTAAGTTGTTTCCACTTTTTCTTGCTGTCACAAATGAAAGTGTAGTGTACAAGGATAGTCGCATGTCAGTATGTAAACACAGAGGCCTATCTGGAAAATGCTTTTCTAGAAGAGGAATTATGTGCTTTAGATTTTGATATGCTCGGGAAGTTGTGTGTCATAGAAATTATGCCAATTCATGCTCTTCCTTACCAGGTATAAAAATGTCTGCTCATGCCTGTGCATTGGCACAACTGGTATGAATGCTATTTTAAAGTATTATGTGCCATCATGGGCACACAGTCATTGCTGAAGTGTTGTAACAAACATCTTTGCAAATCTTTGTGTGATGCTTTCCTTAGGGCATCATTCTAGAAGGAGAATTTAAGGGTATGCATTTTTAAATTCTCTTGATCATTTCATTTTTACTATGGAAGTACTGAGAAAAATGTTTCTCTTTTAGTAGCCTCTATCTAGGGGGTGGGAAGAACACAAGGTGACCCAGGTTTGGAGATACAGTAATTGGCTTTTCCATTATGGAGAAGATCTATGTCCTGGGCTCACAGTAGGGTATTGAGTCTGGGAAGGTTTAGTGGAGATGTGGTCTGAATAAAGCTATGCAGCCTCTTTCTAGCTCAGCCTCTGCACTGCACTTGTCTCTCTGCTCCTGAATCTGCCTTTGCTTTGGGGAAGACCCTCTCCTCACCAGCCCTCCCCCAGGGCAAAGGAACCATACATCTGAGATCAAGGTGGGTGCTCTGATTTTTTTCAGTTCTTTTTCTTCAGACCCAGCATCTTCAACCATCAGGGAAGTCCTGAGGAGTTTAATGAAATAGAGTGTCACTCATTTGGCAGCTGTGATTGTACAGTCTCAGCTATCTCGCCCTGCCCCGTCTTCCTCTTTCCCTCTGCTCACACCCTGAGAGGAAGGGAAGGTCTCATTCACAGAACACCTTTCTTAAGGGGTCAGCTTGCAGTGCTTGGTTGCCTCTGCCCCCAAATGTGAAGTCTAGGGCTCTAAACTGGTCACTTTTCTGTAGGCTCCACCCTTCTTTGCTGGAGGATCAAGGCTATGTCAAAAAAGTCCTAGGAAGCTCCACCAATTCTTCAGATGACCTGGATGGGTCCTCGGTCCTCTATGTTAAATTTCATAATTTACCGGAGCATTTTATAATGAGGATTCAGTGTTCTGTAGATTATCTGCTTGTTCCCATGGGTTTGACTGCAGCTGTAGACCTTGACCCTATGCAGAGGGTAATGTGAAGGGCTCCATCCCCCAGGGTTCAGAATTCTATATCCTCCTGAGGGCACAGAGGGGAGACCCAGGGCTTAGCCACATAGAAGACACTCACAGACTGTTAACTGTTCAATGGTTGAATGAATACATGAGGATAGGTATTGAGGATGTAAGTCAGATTAAAGAAAATAATGCTATTAAAGAAAAATCCATGCTGTGTTTTCATTTTCACTTACTTAATAGAATCACTTAAATCTGTATCAGCAGACTTGAGTGTAGCTGGGAATGATGGCAAGCTGGCAGGCAGTGAGGTTACTGGGATAGACTCTGTCTGGGTCGTGGGTGTAGTGGAGAGCTTCTTTGTCCATGTCACAAACCTACAGAGCCTTGAGGGGACAGGGGGTGACACAGGTGCACATCAGCTGTTGTAAATTGGTGTCCAGTGGGCTCTCACTTTCAAAAGTCAGATTCCAAATCTTAGACCAGACAGAACTAGAAGGACCACCCTGTAACCTCCCTTGGACTCGCCTCCTTCAAGTCTTAGCTAAGGTTTCATTTGTTCCTAAAGTGCAGGCTCAGGCTTTTCACATGACCCTGCCTCCTATAATGTGTCATGGACCCTAGCCCTGGTCCCACTGCTGAGCCTTGCTGCCACTCAAGTTGGTGGTGCTGAAGTCTGTCTGTCCAGGTTTCCCTGATTACAAAGGGCTTTGGATGTCACAAAGGCCAAAGTGGTTGGGTCACCCCATCCTTCCTATCACCCTCATTTTTTTTGACTCTTCTCTTCCTCTTCTTCACTCATCTCAAGGTCCTGATATAAGTTTCAACCCAACTTCACTTGTATATTCATTCTGGCCTCATGTGAACTCAGAGGCCCAGCACAAATATCTACCATATGAAGCTCCCACCGCTATCTAGCTTCCCTTTGCAGGAAATTATTTCTCTCTGAACTGTCACAGAAGTTCATCTGCACTTCTTTTAGGATATTGTCAACCCCCTACAATGTTCCTGAGTTTCATTTCCTAAACTTCAGGTGTTCTACTACCACCTTCATGATTTTTGCCATATTAAGTATTACCTAATAAAACAATTTTTTTTTCTTTTTTCTTTTTTTGGTACTGGGGATTGAACTCGGGTCCTTGTGCTTGCGCAGCAGGCGATGAAACCACTGAGCTAAATCCCTGGCCCCCTAATAAAACAATTTTATTGAGGAATAATTTACATACAAAATGCCCTCATAACCATCCAATTTGATGATGCTTTAAACACCTTCATGTACCACTATATTAATAGAAAGAATGCTTACATTATGCTAAATAGTGTCATATGCTTTATGTCACTATTGATTTGCTACAGTTTCATAAAATGGAATATACTTTTTTTGTGTCTGACTTCTTTTGTTCAGTGTAATGTTTTTGAGATTTATCATGTTACATGGAGAAGCAGGCCTTTTTTTAAACTGAGCAGTATTTTATAGCATGGATGTTTATCCATCTTGTTGATAGATGTCTAGAGCATTGCCAGCTTTTAGATATTATTGATAAAGTTGCTATAAACATTTGTGTGCAAGTCTTTGTGTGTTCATATGTTTTCATTCTTTGCTATAGTTTGGATCTGGAATGTCCGTGAAGGGCCCTGTGTTAAATGTTTGGACTCCAGCTTGATACAACTGAGAGGTGGGTTGCAGAACTTGGGAGACGGGTCCTACTGGGAGGTCTAAGGATCACTGAAGAATGTTCTCTAAGGGGATAGTGGGGCTCTCTGGCCCCATCTTCTTCCTTGCATTGCTCCCTAGCGATGAGGTGATCGAAGGTGATGAAATGAGTGATTTTGCTCTGCCATATGCCCCCACCATGATATGCTGTATTGCCCATCTCAGGCTCCAAAGAAACAGGACCAACTAATTGGTCATAGGCTGAAAATTCTAAAATTGTGAACAAATAAAATGTTTCTCTTTCTAAGAAGGGAAAGGAAAAAGAATTAAAAAGAAAAAAAGGAAAAAGCGGAAACAAAGCTATGTATACAGGGAGGAGTGGAGGGGTTGAAAGGAGGGAAGGGGAATGGGAAAAATAAGAATCAAGGTATATCATGTACAGGTACACAATCCCAATGATGAATGTGATCATAATGCATACCTAAAATGTACCAATAAACCTAGTGAATAAAAAAATTTTCTAAGTTGAATACATTAGATATTTGTTATGCTAATGGAAAGCTAACATATTCTTCCTGGGCAAATTCATAGGAAGGGAATTGCTGGGTTATATAGTATATGTATATTTAGCAATATAGCAAACTGCTAAAGAATTTTCCACAATGGATGAAACATTTTACAGGACCACCTGTAGTGTGTGAGAGTTCTGGTTGGTCACATCTTCACCTATGTGTGGTATTCAATCTTTTAAATTTTACCCATTTGATGATTGAATAGTGACAATACACTGTGTTTATCAATAGGCTTATTTTAAAGGAAAAGTTTATATCATTATTATAAATGAAAACCCAATATTATCTACCATTGAAAAATCAATTGAAAAAAATCAGTATTATTTTCTTGACTGGTGAGGGCTCTAAGCTGAACTTTGTTTGGTCTATTTAAGAAGGACTATCAGTTCACTGACATATAGGGCTAGAACCATCTATGGCTGGGGTTATAGTTCTACAGAACTGTGAGCTTTTGGAGTGAAGGACCCGAGGTGTTTCCTCTTTATGGCTCCAGAACACAGGGTCTAATACACAGAGCAAGAGCTCAATAGATGTTTGATTGAATGGAGAGGCAGATGGATGGGAAGCTGATGGATAGATGGGTGGGAGGGTGAATGGCTAAATGAGAACAAATTGAACAGCGCACAGGGTAATATGGCTATTCTGCATCCACAGCCCCATCTCAGATGGCCTTGGAGAAGTGAGGGAAAAGCTCTTTTCATCTTTCATAAGCTTCCATTTGGCTCGTTCCAGACCAGATGTCTCTAGCTGACTTTACCTTTGACTGAAGCCACATCATTCTGGCCAGAGGATCCACGTTGGGCTGGATGCAAGAAAAATCTCCTGGGAAACTTTTTAAAAATAAAGATTTTTGAACCCCATCCCTTGGGAAGATTCTGATTCAGCAGGTCTCAAGTAGGGCCCAGGTGTTAGATTTTTTAGTCTTCTCAGGTGCTTCTAATAGACAGCCAGACTGAGGAGTCACCATGGGTGGGAATGGAAACATGACAGCTCAGGACAGAGCTGATAATTAACATGGGGTTAGTATGGAAGCCTTACCAGTTAAGAGCAGTGAATGTCAGCAAAGGACAATTCTGAGTACTTATTAAATCACCGAGGTCAACAGAGATGCCTGAGGGGACCCTCTGCCGGATTGTTGCATACACGAATAGCACTCTTATATACAACATTTGCACCCCTCGGGATGGTGTACTGAATGAATAGAGAGTATGTGGGAATATCTGTAAAGGAAAAATACAAAGCTACAGAGCCTCTGCCTACCTGAGGGGAAACAACACCTCAGTTGACAATGATACCTGGATAACTAGGAAGTGAGAGGTCTCTTTGGAAACGAAGAGAGGAGATGGGAATGCAGCCCTTCTTGCTGGTAGCCTGCACCCCAGGAGACAGAATCAAGCCTTTAACTTATTTAAATAGGAAAACCTGCTCCAAAAAATGGAAACAGAACATTGGTAGTTTTGGTTTTGTTTTTGATCAGACCTCACTTTATCCTCAGGTATAGATGATTACTTTCCTGCTTTGCTGACCGAAACAGGATTAGATTCACTTATTTTCAGAAAAGAGTGCATAGCAAACAAGGAAAATCAATATTTCTCCAATTCCAGAGCTGCCCATATCCAAATTGCTAGAGAAGCCAGGAAAGGGACCCCCCCTTTGGCTAGGACAGAATTATGTGAATGTCAAACACTTGCTGATAAGCAGCACTGGCTTGGGATCAGCAGTTTCCCTCTTCATGTTTTATTTTGAACTCTTGGGTAAGAATCAATACACTCTTTTATGCTGCAAAGCATAAAAAAAAAAAATCCACCATGCTCATTTTCTGTTCTCCCTTCACTGGAAGCAAGATTGTGCCAAAATAAAACCCCAGAGAACAAGCGTGTATTTCAGTTAATATTCTGTAGTGGAGTTCACATGTTTGCAGACGAAAAAGTGTACATGAGACACCCGCTGAGGTCTGTGCCCTACAGCCCAGGTCTTGGGGGAGAAAAGGTGGCAGGGTAGGCAGCCTTGCAGTAGACACAGTGACTTCTACTGCACTGATTCATTAGACTTGGATTCTCAGAGTGCCCACTGCCACAGGTAAAAGGAGCCCCTGGCTCTGGCTGTATAAAAAGGGCTGCAGATGTGCTTTGTTTATCTGGATAAAGAGGGGCTGCATATGCTGTTTTCAAATTAATGACTGTGACAGATGCTGTTGTGCACGGTCTAGATCCCCTTAGGAGACGGGCTCATCACCTGGGCACTGTGGATGTTCGCTGCACTCTTCTCTGGAGCATTGCCCTGCCTGGTGGGAGCTGCCTCACCAGCCCTCAGCTGCCCAGGAGATCACATCTTCCCTCCCCTAGGGCTCAACTTGTAGGGAAAGGCCTGATGGATGGGGTGGTGCTGTAATGGGCCCAGCTTCCTTTGCTCTGGATAGAACAAACTCTGCGATGCGCTCCACTGCCCAGAGTTCCCCTTGGGATCAGGCCGAGGTCAGACTTCTTCTGAAATCACATCTTCCTGTTTCCCCCCTGCCCACTCTAGCTTCCCTTAGCTTTCACAGTTTCTCCTAAGAGCTCTCCCTCAACAAAGAAGATTAAGAGCCACCATCTAGGCTCTGCATTGTATGGTTCCAAAGATGAGAGACCCTTGCTTTGAGGATCTCAGAGGCCAGTGGGTCAGTCAGACACACAAGAGAGGGCATGATTCAGGGTACAGGTGCTCCAACGGAGATGTACAGAGTGCATAGTAGGTTGGAGAAAGGTCGTTGGTTGATGGTTAACGCATTGGAATTTTGACTGCCCCACTTATGCACTATGTGACCTGGGTACTGTGATAGTGGCAGACCCTCCTCATCTGCTTGTTGTGAAACTTAGTTCATGTAAAAAACTTGGCCCTGTGTCTCAATCATGTCATGTTCAATGAACGGGAGCTGTTCTAGTGCTGGGCTTGGTGGGGATTACAGCCATGTCTGGACTGAAACAAGGCCCAGAATGACTCTTTCTGGATGCATGAAGAAGTTCAGGATGGAGGATAGAATCTAACTGTATTTAAAATGAAGAACAATGCTTTTGGGGGGAAGAGTGGAAAAGATGTATAAACTCAGGGAAATGTATCTGTAAAGGAAAAAGGACAAAAAGAGCTTGGCTTTCCTAGAGATGACTGAATTGGTTGAAGG